GAATGAATACAAATCCTGTTTCAGGTAAAGATGATTCACCATAAGATCTTCAAGTTTAATCAGCACACCTGATGCAGTTTTCTCCTTTGAGACATGTCGGATAACCTTATCACCAAGGCTCAGTATGATGGGATTGTGGGCTTTCTCAATCATCGTCATTTTCTCCCTCTCTATTAGGGCAACATCCATATTTTCATATCCCTTCAACACTTCTAGAAGACTTTGCTACACAAGAAGGGCTTGAATGTTCAAGCACCATAATCTGAAATCATTTACTCAAGTGGATTTCTCAATCTCATTTTTTATGGCATCTTCTTCACGCTCATCGCACTAGTTTATTGTGATAACCGATGTCAAGAACAAATAAAATCTAAGAGAAAGAGAGAGTTTCTTGATCAAACAAAAAACCTTTCAGTTCAAGAAGAGAGAGAAGATAAAACAGAGTTGGTTACGACATTTATTTCATTCACTTTCTCAATGAGCATTAAATGATTACAAATGAAAAATAACAACCAACCTCTATTCTAACAAGTGAGAGAGCAACCTATTTATAGACTATTGGCATATGTATGTTATGTATGAAGATAACACATATACATGACATACATAACTACTACATAACATGATACATAAGTTATCTTTGACTACTGCATGCTTGAAAAATTTTTGACTATACTATGCACATTTGTCTTTGTCAAATCCTAAAGCTACATTTGTTGAGATTGAAGTTCGATCTAATGCTACAATTTTAGATTATCGCGATGTGTTAATTTGTATCTTTAATTACCTTTAATCAGTACTAATCAATAGAAATGACATACTCTCTTCAAAATTATGACAAATTAATTGTGGCAAGATAAGAATCAACTAGTTTTCTAAAAAACTTTCCTTAACCGTGAGCAAATCATTGAGTAATCTTAACAGGTGCCTACATCTCTTTCATCATCGCCATTATCACATATGCCTTCATTCATCCTCTTATGTCAAGTAAGAGAAACATGAGCACAATGTGTACGGGTTCAACTTCAGTAGTACAAAGCTTTCACCATCCAAGGGTCTCATTAGGGACTCTGAAAAAATTATGTTAGTGATTTTTCTTGTATCCTTGGTCGATCTACCTCTGTTCCGGCTGAGCATTGGAGCGTAGTCCATGATTTAATAAAATTGATAGCTTGAGTTTTCTCTTCCTTGCATGTCGAGATGGATTCCTTTATTTTGGTTAACATGATCATCTTTCACAAGATTCATAATCTTCATTTGTTCCCCCTCCTTCTTCAAGTCTTATCTCTCATGGATTGAAAAAATTGAAAATGTGAGATCAAACATTTTTATTGAAAAGTTAATAGTCGTGTTGGACAGCCACAATGACAATATTTTTTTAAAACAAAATTTATAATTCACCGTCCTTTCTTAATTTTATTGTTGTCTATGAATGTAAAATTGTCTATTTTTCTTCTATTGTTATTTAAATGTTGTTTTTAATATTTTTTTTATAATTGAAAAAAGAGATTGAATTTTGAGTTAAGGAAACTAGTTTTTGAAATGAAAAAAGAAACATGGAAAAACTCCCAACTAAATTTATGATGAAGTGGAGGGAATAACTTCCAAAATTTAAACTTAGAAAAAGACTTGTGAGGAGTTTGATCTTTTAAATTTAGGTTTTAATTTGGTTGTTCAACATGACAGTGGTTCCCGGACTGGTCACTCAAACCACACCAAACGTCAGTACATTTTGCAAATCCAATTTAAGCCGCACAGAAGCTTAAGTAACCTCTGCAAAGAGCATTCATTTCTTTCAGAAATCAACAACTATAATGTCATTTAATAAAAGCTTTCACAAGTATGATCAGAGTTAACATTAAAATATGTGTATTTTCTAAAGAAAAAACAGGTGCTAGTTTCCTTTCCTTGTAATCCAATTAAAGGTTACAAACATTGAATTGGAAGAACACTGTCCGAGGAGGCATTTTAACAAACACATCTTTTCCTTTTTACTCCCAATTTCCAAAAGAAAAGACTCTGTCTCTAACCCATATCTCAAATAGTTTAATAGTAATATGTACGTTCTGATAAAGCATTTCAGTTACTCGAGTGGTGCACAGGCAGACCATAAAGTGTAACTACTAGAACAATTTCAACAACTAGCTAGGACAATTCCCTATTAAAATCTTTATCAAGTTTCAATTTCAACTCCTAAATCTCAACCCAAAATCATAAAGATATATTATTCCACATGGATTAGTTTATAATGCACATGTAAGATAACTATTGCATTGTAGGCAAATTTATTTCAACAAGTTAGACAATAATCTTTTACTGTAGATTAATTGTGACATTTGGCCATTTTACAATGATTAAGAAAAAAATATTTTGACTTTTGTTTTGACCGAATCAAAAGCTGATAGACTCATCTCGACATTCTATAGATAGACATGTGACGTCACATGATGTCACACAGGAGCACACATTTCTTTGATTAGTCATTGTTTTTCATCTAACAATAATATACGCTACATGTTTGACAATATGAAAGCAGTTACAATGATCTCTTCTATATAAGTGTGACTCTGAGTCGCACTCGTGTACGATTCAACTAATATTTGTAAAGTTTCACCTCAATCTCATAATGATTTGAGTGTATTAGTGCTAATCTTTTTTGTAGGCATCCTCTTTGTTTATCAAAGAACAATCACCACCGCACCAAAAACATCAAGATGCATGTACCTTCTCAAACTCACTTAATGCAATTTAGAAGAGACAATCTCCAGACGATTGAGAACCTCTACCTTAGAGTCATTGAAAGGTTGTGTGACATGCATTTGAGAGAATATAAACTCATACATAAAGAGACCACATACCTCAAATTAGCTACAAATCATAATATCACTTTGGGGAAAATAGTCTCTCAATATGAGAATGTCTCCACGTCCCGACATGCAAGTTCCAACATGTCTTCAAAAGTGTAAAAAGATGGGTTTCCCATAATATCACTATGGTCGATAACGTCGCATTTTCACCATTTCTTCTTAACTATTCATTAAAAAAATGATGATTATAAATCATACACCTGACTTGTTCCTCCGACCACCACTTCACTCCTACAACAATAAATTTACTATTGAATTGACACTTTAGACCTATAATAAATTTTGCACATCAAGGTCATCCATAACATTTTCAAAAAAAGTTGGATAAGTCAGCTTGACTTCCCCAAAACTAATCCCTACCATGACTTAGTTCATATCCATACATGTGGGATAAGACTCATAGTCATTGGGGTTGATCATTACTAATTCATTAGAAGAAACAACATCAGTAAACTCTACGAATGTGTTTCATATGTTAGGTTTTCTTAGGTTTTCCATGTGCAAACGTAAATGAAAGCTTAGGAATAAAAAGGAAGGAAAATGAAATACAAGGTTTAATGTAGGTTGCATGAAGAAATTGAGTGTAGGGGTAGATTGATTGAACAAAGTAGTTTGAATCTGAAAAAGAAGAAACAAACGAAGGTCTTTCAAAAAAGACATTTGAGATAGCAAATGATTAAAAATATAAATGAAACACAAGTTTCGACTTTATATGCAAGCTAGGCAGGCGCCAAGTTCAACAAAATCTCTTAAAGCTCAAAGACTCCATTCAATGACTCAAATTGTGTCTCGATTCGATAAATGCAATTAAATGCACATACACATGTCGCCTCCCACTCCATGGTACGTAAAACGCGTGTAAGTTGTCTCCTCATAAATGTTTCATTAACCTAAAGTGAATTTAATGTGCAAGTTATCCATGCAAGTTATCCATGCAACTTTTCTCATTCAACCAAGTAGCTCATCTCCATAAACAAAGTTGCCATAAGACTATGGACCAACCTTATTTATTTGTACATGATCAATCTTAAATTCTAGACTAATAGAAAGATTTTAAGTTCTAGACTAATAGAACGATTTGGAGGACAAGTGTTTTGGATTGGTTAAAGGCTCATAATGACCCGTTAAATCCCCAAAAGCACAATTCTCCTAATAATGATCCGTTAAATTCCCAAAAGCACAATTCTCCTAATAGACTCACCACAACGTTGTACAAGTATAGATGCATCTCATGGTGTCACATAGGAGCATAACCATCCACGCTCAATGTCTGGCAATTTAGAGATTGCTACAATGGTCTCTTTTGTACAAGTGTGACCATAAATCACAACCAAATACAATTCAATTGATGCAACATCAATCTCATATTAACTTTTAGAGTGCTAATATTTTTTTTAAAAGTTCGTTTTGGTCAACGGAAAACTGTCCGGAACACATAAAAAAACATCATGAATGGGCTTTCACTTTATGTTAAGTACCAAATAATATCGTTAACAATTGAGTTATTTTTTAATCTTTTTCCAAGATACATTCAAATACATTTTAGATAAAATACTTGACCTTTTAGACTATTTGTTTATATTTTATATAACCTGTCCTCTAAAATCATATAATAAAATTTTTGTATAAAATAAAACTACATTAAAATTTTTAAAATTTGAATATACAATATTTACAAAATCATTTTTTTAAAAGGTCATATTTACGATTTCTCGTTAAACAAATGCATTTTTTGTTAGTACTAATATAATACTCTAATTAAGATAATAGTAGATGAATTAAAATATAATACAGAATGTTTTTAAAAAATTATAAATAAATGTTTCTTACATAAATAAATGGGAGGAGGGAATGGTTGTTTGGATTCAACTTCAAGAATCCACTGCACTTGAACTTAAAAATCAATTAATACTATCTTAATATTCTAAAATTACACTTAATATGAGACCAGAAAATACATCCAGGATATGATTAATAAATAAAAAGATAAACTTAAAATTATGTATAAGAAATTAAACCAAAAAAATCCCAAAAAGGTTAGTTTAAGGGAACCAAAATAGAAAATAGAAAAAGTGGTGGTAAATAATTACATAATATAATACCTTGTAGCGTGGTTAAAAAATAAAAGTAAAACTAGTGAGAAGTTACTATGCTTTTTTTGGTGAAGAGGTTGCGTAGATTAAAAATGTTACCCCCACTTCCTTCATCATTATGACACTCACCACCACCGTTCGTCACGGCGCCACCACTCACACCAACGGAACCGCTCTCGTCACTTCTACAGCTCAAGTGATGTCTGTAGCCAATACACATCGGAACATTCAAGCTCAAAACCCTAGTTTTACCTCCGCCGTTAGAAACCACCTTGCTCCGGCGAGTTGCGGCGGATTCAGTCTTTGACGCTTTCTCTGCGTTGAGAGTTTGTTGCTCTGAGTTTTTGGAGATACCGCGACGAACCTGCCATACTGGACTGCTCCGACCGACGTGAACCCCGGCCCGACCCGGACTACTCGGCCATTTCCTCGACTTGGATTCTCCGGTTGAGTTGCTACGAGAACACGGCGCACTGTTGACTTTCCGGGTAACCGGAGCCCCGGGGAATAATTTAGGTCGGGTGCCGGTGTTACCCGCGGACCTACTTCGTGAAAATGGCCATATATTGATGTTCAACTCTGCAGAAGTGGAACCGCTTTTGTTTTTTCTCTCTTTCTTCTTCTCCTTCTTGTTCTCTTTCTCTTTCTGTTCTGTGTTGTTGTTTTCTGTGGTTTTTTTCTCACCTTTTCTGAAAATATCTTTCCACCGTTTTGAAGATGAGAAAGTGGTGGTGGTTGAGGATTCAGTTATAGCAGGTGAAGATTCGGGTTGTGAAGATTCGGGTTCTGGATCCGGGTCTTTAACTAGTGGGTCCGGGTTTGGTGGATCAGAGTTATTCGTGACAGGGATAAGGTGGAGGGGAAGGAGTACACCGTCGACGAAGAGTTCATCGGCAGTGAGAAGATTCGGTTGTGGAAAAGACGGGTTTCGGAGCATCCAGAACTCGAATTCGGGTGAGTTACAATTTGTTCTAGTTTGAGGGTTTTGTTTAGCATCCATGGAGAATGAAGGGAAATGGAGTATTTTTGGGAGAGTGTGAGAAAAAATGAAAAGGAGAATGAATAAAAAGAAGAAAGGGATGGTGTTGGGATTTTAAGAGAGGAAGTTGGGTGAGGATTGGGGGTCCATTATGGCTCCACGAAGATGGAATTGGAAGGAGAGCATGTGCCTTACAATATTGGAGATAATATGTGGATTTTTAAAGAGGAAAAAGTCATTCTAGAATTTATTTGCACATGTTTGATTTTTTATAGGTATAATTAATTTTCATGAGTTTTTTCTTTTAAATGTGATTTCTATATTTAAATTTATGTTTATACTAAATTTATATAAATTAATTTACTTTCAATTTATTTTTAACTAAAATTTATTTTACGAGGTCAATTTAATTAAAATTATTTTTAAAGACAAAATTAAATATATATTAAATGTGTGTTTGGTTCTACAACAAAGAAAAATGATTTTTAATGAGAAGATTGTGTAAATTTTATTTTGATTAAAAATGTGTTGGATTTAAAGTGATTAATATTTAAATATTTTTGTGAAAAAATGAGTTGAATAATACAAATTTAATATTCATAACGAATTTAAATTAAAAAATTATAAATCAAAACAACAAATAGGACTGATTCTAAAGGGAATAATTATTTTACTTTTGATGGACCAAATACATCAAAATTAATTATATATTTTTAAAATTACTTTTAACTCCTTAAAAATATAAATAGAACATGCATTAAATTGTACATTTATATATTTATGGCAAAAAGTTTTTATGTTTCATCATATAAGATTTAGAGTTAAAATAATTATCTTGAAAAAGTTGTAAAAGTAAGCCGAAGAAATCTTACAAATAATATTATAAGATATTTCCATAGTTTCTTAAACAAATAGTATTACATAAGTAATGTAAATCAATGAAATAAAACTTTAGTTTCGCAAATATTTTAATTTGTAGATGTATTTAAATATTAATTAAATTTATTATTTAAAATTTTTAAAATAAAATAAATTTTAAGTATAATATTAGGTTAATCTTTAAAAAGACAAGATTCGGGTCTAAAAATAAGTTTATAATAAATCACATGTTAAATTTAAATTTTAAAATTTTTAGTAGGTCAAGATCAAGCTTGACAAAATCAAGTTCGATTGGATCTATTTTCACTCTTATTTATGTCTAACCTTTTTCTTTAATAAAAATTGATCTTTTTAAAAACAATCATTATGAAAATTATTGAAAATTTTTAAATATGTTTGATTTATTCTGATATTATATTAAAATTTAAATTTAGTTTTAATTTTAGAACATATATTTTGTCTCATTCATAAAACTAATCACTATATTTCAAATTTAAACAATTATAATGTTATTCTCATATTTTTATACTAAAAATAAATGATGTGACAATTTTTAAATAGTACCAATATATCATTTATATTTAAGAATCAGGTCTTAAAAAGAGTTACATATAATAATTTATCACATTTAAAATTATATATATATATATATATATATATATATATATATATATATATATATATATATATATATATATATATATATATATATATATATATATATATATAAAACACTATAACGCGGAAATTTGAAGTATGTGTATGGTATGTATGGTGTATAATGAGTTGATTATGCAGCTTTAGGCGTGGCTGTATTCGCCAATCACATCGTTAAAAACAAAAGATAATGGTTGATATGTGTGTGGGGTGCACATGCTAGGAGGAGAGTTTCATTTCATTTACTTGTGATAAATTAATTAAGATTAGGTACTGTACTACGGATTTAAAAGTTACTTGTACGTGCATTACATTATTAAAAAGCTGTGATAAAAAATTGCAGTGGCATCATCAGACAAAGTAAATTTGAATCAGAATGAATGAACTTAAAAATAATAGTATTACTAACTTGATAAAATATGTACTTTAAGTTTGAATATTTTATACATACATACAGTATTCTACTACCAAAAAAATATGTTATACATACAATAATTTTTAGGTGAAATATGCTATATCTAGTATAGCATGGAATAATGGTATTATAGCGCTGACAATATGAAAAACGGTCAATGACTAGTTCAATAACATCACCGTCTTCTTAGGCTGCCATAACATAGACATTAATTGAGTGTGAACGCAAGAGGTTGACGTTGACACATATCATTGCCTGCTATTGGTCATTAGTGGTGTTCTAATCAACAATTAATTATTTTCTCACATTTAAAATCTACTTTTTTTTAATTATATAATTAATTTATCTAATTAATATTCTTTTTGCTTTTATTTATTAAAGAATATTGACTTTTTAAATTTATTAAATAATCAATGTATTTGATTCATGATATAGATCAAATATATTGATTATCCAATTAATTTAAAAAGTAAAATTTCTCTTATAAATAAAATTAAAGATAGTAGGCAATGATACACGTCATTATTACAAAAAAGATATTTCAAAAATTCTGTTGGATCAGTTTTTACGCTCTCGAAATGTCATTTGGGTTGATGTTGTAATGGTTGGGTAATAGTAGTTTTGGTGTTGGGGTGAATTTAGGGCGAATGGTTGTGTTGGGTAAAAAGGAAATTGGTGTTGTGGTGTTTGAAAATTGTTATTTGTCTGAGGTGTAGGACGTGTGCATGAGTATGAGTTTGATCAGTTAGTGGTTGGTGTTCGTTGTTGTAAAAATAGGTTAAAATATCGGGGTTGTGTTGTGGTGAGAATCGTGATACTAAGCTATTGATTAACTTGAATCTTTAATTCTTAAATTCACAACCGGACTTTAATTTATCCAAAAAGGAAAGGTTTAAAGAAAGAAAAACCTATTAAAATGCAAAGCAAAAGGCAAGGCTTAAAGCTGAGCAAAGAGAGATCTAAAGGTTCGGGGGTTGGTTATGTCTAGGGTAGGTATTTCACATCCTAAACATCTGTAGTACTCTACAGGAACCTCTTATTAATATTTGCGTTTGCTAAAGTTTGCTTGCTAAAGGAAATGTGTTAAGGGTAAAGATATAAAATATAAAGTAAGTACAAAGTTTGCTCGCCAAAAAATCGCATATCGTGCATACGTATCCTGACGGGGATGGAATCAGAGCAACCGTAGTTCCCCCTGGTTAGGGGTAAGGAACTCTTGACTGTGGTCAAGGTTCCAGAAGGATGCAAGCACTCATAAGGAAATACTTACATGGAGTGCGGCGACTCCTGAATCTACGTTGAGATTGTTATGGTAGAGAATGTCCACGACGGGACGTTAAACATGAGTACGACGACTTAGATCCTAAGGCTAGGAAGGTGTAAGAATGTCCACGGCGGGACGCTAAATAGAGCACGGAGACTCCAATCCTAAGGCTAGGATAAAAGGAAAGAATGTCCACGGCGGGATGCTAAAAGTGAGTACGGCGACTCAAATCCTAAGGTTAGGATAAAGGTTAAAGGATGTTCACGGCGGGACGCTAAAAGTGAGCACGGCGACTCAAATCCTAAGGTTAGGATAAAGGGGAAGGATGTCCACGGAGGGACGCTAAAAGTGAGCACGACGACTCAAATCCTAAGGTTAGGATAAAGGGATAAAGGGTGTCCACTACGGGACACTAAATAGAGCACGACGACTCCAATCTTAAGGTTAGGATAAAAGGTAAAGAATGTCCACGGTGGGACGCTAAATAGAGCACGACGACTCCAATCATATGGTTAGGATAAAGGCTAAAGGTATAGGATATCATGTGTAACCAACAATGTCACAACAATGTAAACAAAAAGTTCAAAACCTCATGGGGATAATCAAAAGTTTTTAAAGGTGAACCACCTAAAAGTGTACAAGCAAAGTTAAAATTCAAACTTAAATGCCCAAGGAAGCTAACAATCCATGTTCATAATCTCAAATTAAAAACTTAAAGAGAATGAAATCCAAATGTTTGAAATAAAGAAGGAAAGATAAGAGGGTGAAAACTCTAAAATGGGTTATAACTTGCTCATAATGCAAAGTGTTTCTAAAATAGGATTTTTAGAATTTTTTAAACATTATGTGGAAATATGTTACAAAACAAGAATTTTGCAAAAAGAACCACTTAAAAATGAATTAAAATGGAGAAGTTATATGGTTTTTAAGTTTGTGAACAAAACATAAAAATCTAACTAATAAAAAGAATAAAATGCACATGGTAAGACAATGAATCAAACAAATTTGATTATTTAAACATGTTAACAAACATGTATAAATAATACAAGATCAATATCACAAGAAAAATCAAGTTGCAAGTTGAAAAAGTTTAAGAACATCATGGTAAAAACCCTAAAAACAGTCATGGTATCATGTGAAAAGCAAATGGAAAGTTCACATTTATGAGTTTTAGGTTTACCTCTTGAAGAAAGATTAAGTAAAAAGAAAACCAGAGATCTTGAAAGCTCTTCCAAGATCTTCAAATGTTCCTAGGATGATGAATAGATGCTCCAAACGACCTTCAAGCAAGCTAGTGGACGAAATGCCTTGTAAATGAAGGAAAATCTCCAAAATCCAAAGATTTCAAAGACCAACTCACTAGAACCTTGTTACATAAATATGGAAGTAATTTGGATAGTTTCAATATATCATATTTGATGTGTTTGAAGTGTTTCTTGAGTTGGAAGAAGTTTGGAAATGGTTTTGAAAGGTGTTTTGCAAAAGTAGATTTTGAGGGATTTTGGAAACTTAATGAGATTTTGCAAGAACTTGTGATTGTGTAAGGAATGGAGTTCTAGTTGGTTTCTAGAATGAAACTTGTGTGTTTATGATATAGGAAGTGAGTTCTATTTATAGACAAAAGCCTTGGATCAAAGTATGGGTAAAAGTGAAGCAAATTGCCAATTTTAACTTTCCATCATGAAAATCTTTGAGTTTTCCAATGCAATCTTCATCTTTGTCTTTAAGACACTCTACTAAGATATTCTCCATGTCCCATAGATTTTTTTCATCATGGTTGATAGGATAGGAGGTGACTTGTTGAAT